TGTTCTCATCAGCATTTAGTGTTGTCGGTGTTTTGAATTTAACTATTCTAATAGGTGGGTAATCGTACCTCATTGTTGTTTTTTTTTTTGTTTTTTTTTTTAAAAGATGACCGGTAAGGGGATCTTAACCCTTGACTTGGTGTTGTCAGCACCACGCTCACCCAGTGAGCAACCGGCCATCCCTATATGGGATCCGAACCCGTGGCCTTGGTGTTATCAGCACCACACTCTCCCGAGTGAGCCATGGGCCGGCCCGCTCATTGTTGTTTTAATTTGCGATTCCCTTAGTGATATATGGTATTGAGCATCTTTTAATATGCATATTTGCTGTCTTTGGTGAGGTTGCTTGTCCTATTTTAAAATTGGGTTATTTTCTTATTGTTGAGTTTTAAGTGTTTTTTGTATATTTTGGATACATATCCTTTATCAGATAGGTGTTTTGCAAATATTTCTTCCCAGTCTGTGGCTTGTTTTTCATGCTCTTAACAGGGTCTTTCACAGAGCAGAAGTTTTTAACTTTAATGAAGTTCTGCTTATCAATTTTTTTTCTTTTCTGGATTATGCTTTTGGTGTTGTATCTAAAAACTCATAAACAAACCAAGGTCATCTAGCTTTTCTTCTATCGGATTGTCTAGAGGTTTTTAAATTTTGCATTTTACATTTAGGTCCATCATCCATTTTGAGTTAATTTTTATGAAAGGTGAAAGGTCTACATCTTGATCTATTTTTTTGAAGTTGGATGCCCATTTGTTCCAGCACTATGTGTTGAAAAGACTATCCTTTCTCAACTCTTTTGCCTTTGCTTTGTCAAAGATCAGTTGAGTATGTTTGAGAGTATTTCTTTGCTCTTTACTCTGTCCTCTTGATCTATTTGTCTATTTTTTCACCAACACCACATTGTTTTGCTTATTGTAGCTTTATAGTAGAACTTGAAGTCAGGTAGTATTATTCCTTTGACTTTGTTGTTCTTATTCAACATTGGGTTGGCTATTCTGGGTCTATTGCCTTTCCAAATAACCTTTACAATCAATTTGTCAATATCTACAAAATAATGTAGTGGGATATTTTTAATTGACAGATAATTGCATGTATTTATCATGTACAGCATGATGTTTTGAAGTATGTATATATATAGTGGAATGACTCAATCTAGCTAATTAACATATGCATTACCACACATTGTTATCATTTTATAATTTACTGGGATTTTAAATGTGATTGCATTGAATCTTTTATAAAGTTTGGAAAAACTGACATCTTGGCAATATTGAGCCTTCCCATCCATGAACATGAACTAACTCTCCATCTATTTAGATCTTCTTTGATTTACTTCATGAATCTTGCTTTTTTCCCTTGACAATTTATCTTGAAGTTCATTCCATTTCAACACATATAGATAGACCGACCTTGTCATTTTTAACAGCTGAATAATATTTCATTGTGTGATTGTACAAAAATTTACTTAGCCATTCACTTACTGATGGATGTTTAGGTTGTTTCCAGTCTTTTTCTACCACAAGCAATGCTGCAGTGCAATTCTCATATAATTTATCTTTGTGCAGACATGTGAGTATATCTTAGGATAAATTCCTAGGAATAACGTTGTACAGTCAAAAGTATGTATTACTTTAATTTGAGTAGCTTTTGCCAAGTTTTTTTTTTTTTAGTGGCTGGCTTGTACAAGGAATCTGAACCCCCAATTTTCTTTCCGAAGAAATATAATTTTACACTCCCAAAACAGTACACAGAAGTATTTATTCCCCATAGCCTCACCAATATAGCAGTTATCAGTTCTTATAATCTTTGTCATTTAGATCAGTGAAAAATAGATCTCATTGTGTTTATATTTCTTTTAAATGGGAGGGGTTGGGTATCATTTTACCTATTTAAAAGTCTCTGGCCGGCCCGGTGGCGCACTGCTATAGTGCGCCGCTTGGGAAGCGCGGCGGCGCTCCCTCCGAGGGTTCGGATCCCACATACAGACCGGTTCCCGCTCACTGGCTGAGCGAGGCACGGGAGCAACACCGAG